CCACCACCAACAACAACAACACCACCACCACCACCACCACCACCACCAACAACAACCCACCACTTTGTTCTCCTCAAAGTCTTTCTGCGCCTTCTCCGCGGCGTGTTTGGCCAACACTTGTCTCCGCCACTCGGGAATGGGCCGGCCCGTCGAGTCGATCTTCTCCACCTTGTCCAGGAAGTTCTTGGGGTCAAACTCTCCGGTCAGCGGCTTGCTCTCCGACACCGGCTGTACACAGGGGCAGGAAAGAAAAAACAATTAACTCCTACTGAGGAATATGATATTAACTCTTTATCTCCAGTCGGAAATTGCCAAAAACTGGTCTCTTTTATCCGGATTTCATCCCTTAGATGAAAAACTATCAAAATAGGTTCACTTGTGGTGATTTAATTACCCATTTAGTGACGTTTTTGTCATTTTAAGATTCAGTACAAAAAAAAGGGCGCGGCATAGTGGGTGTACCCCTCTTGGAGATAAAGAGTTTATGATAGGAAAAAAACTTGTTCCAATTTGTGACGGTGCAAGTAATGGGAAGAAGAAGAAGTAGTTCCTATCTGAGACAACTACAGTAAAAGCAGAAAAAAAAGTGCTCCAATATTTGTGACAACAACATTACAGAGAGTTGGGTTTTTTTGTTTACTTCTGCCATCGTTGTTTTAGAACAAATATTTTAGAGTATTTTAGATTCGATGATTTACTCTATCAACTGAATTTCATTGTGGGTTGTTTTATTTGCTTTTATTTTCTTGAGATTTCCGAACTGTGCCGGACTACGCAGGGTATCTAACAACAGACATTAAAAAACAATGGAACAAAATACAGTGAAAGTTGTCCAAGACGGCCAGCCATTGTCGCAGTAAAAAGTCACGGTCTTAGGCTGGAGGACACATTGTTCTGTGTCATTGCAACTGTCGCAACATTTTCAACATGCAAGAAGGGGACTGGGAAAATGTCATTTCTTTCTACAGGAGATTGTCTTGGAGATGGCCGATAGTTTTTAGTTTTCGTAGAGTTTTTACGCCGCTCGCAACTGCATAAGGTCATAAGAGCGCCAAGGGGTGGATGTCTACAGAGAAGTCCAAACGGAGAATCAGGCTTACTCTGCTCACCTCTCTAGCCTCAACAGCACAAAGTCTGCTTCGACTATCAAGGCACCCGGAAATAGCGGGCCACAAGAGAGTGACAAACCTACAAAAGAAGTAGAGAAAAAATGACAATAGGACGAGGAAAGAAATAGCAGCAGTTCCCCCTATGTTGTTCCGGCACAGTATAAGCATGACATTGAAAAATCAGCTCATTTACAATTCTACTGTGCGTAAGAACATGTTAATATCTCCCCCTTTGGGAATGGCCTAAAGACACTTCAGTCAGTAGCACTTCCCGTGGGGGGGGAGGGGGGACAGATGTCTGTTAGTTAGGACCACACTACACTCACCGTGGTTTCTCCCCCGTTTCTCTTGGCTGCCTTGGAGGACTGATAGACCATGCTGACACCTTCGCCCCGACTCTTGGCACGTCGCAGAGACAGAGAGGAGTTACCGCTCACGGCAGACTGGATGTCTGAGGGACGGAGGGAAAACACGCAGTCAGTTTTGTGGAGAAAGTACGGTGTAGTAGATGGCAGGAGAGGAGGGGTGGGTGGGGGT